ATACTTTCCCTTATTGCCCATGGATGGTCAGACTACTGTATTTCCCCTAAGACGCATGAACCATGACGCATGCTTACGAGGATAAATCAACAACCACACACTGATAACATGAACAATACTTTTACCAGTATGCGTATACTACAGTCTTGCTTGGGACAGAATTGTTGAGGGTGGGGACTAATTAGATGCTACTACACGACCGAACCATGGAGACTGATGGCATGCGAGACCTATAACTTACAGACTTTCCTCTTTCTCTTTTTGTCTTTCATTTCAAACACACCTTCTCCTTGTTGCCCTTGTAAGTGGGTACCACGATCGTTTTGTCTGATATCTTAAAAAACACACTCCTTTTTCATTTTTCCAACTATCATCAGCAAGCCGTCTTTCAAAGATGCCTTCCCTGCTGCTATTGCTCCTTCTCGCTGCCAGCCTGACAGCCACCGCACGGGCTGCTAACATCATCAAATTCATCAACCACTGCACCTACCCCATATACTTCTTCGAGGTTGGAAACGGTTTCGCTGGTGAAGACCACCAGGCTGTTACCGTGCCGAGTGGCGGATTCGTAATCCACCAGCTGCTAAACACCGACGGCGCGCAGGGTGGCATGTCCATCAAAGTCCGCGACGTCCCCGAGTACCGAGTGGCTCCAGCCGGGATTCTGCAAGCAGAGTACAATCTCCATTCTTCTGCTACGGGGACGCTGTGGTACGATCTCAGTCTGGTTGATTGTGACAAAGGTGCCGAGGCGACCAGTCCTCGCTTCTGCCCCCTTATCCAAGGGGGAGTGAAGATGTTTGTGCCTGGTCACGAACACAAGGGATGTCGTACGGCATCTTGCGATCATACAGGGTGCAAGAATGCTTACTTGGAGTCTGGACCTAAACCTGGTGACCCCACACTAAGCTGTGATGCTGGTGCGGACATTCACTTTGAGACGTGTAAGTCAAGTCATCTATTATATTATAAGACAACTTCCAAAAGTAGTCACCCTGGGTTTCAAAACTGGCATGTACACCATATTCTGACATTTAAACCAATATCCAACAGGCGTTAATAGCGTTGGTCCAATGACCATTCTTGACAAACCGAATCCAAATCACGGATCAGAGCAAGGCTCTCTTCAAATATCTCCAGATGCCGCTTGTGAGTAATTTCAGTCCGCCCTTGAACCACTCATATTAAGTGGTGAAATGTAAACAGTGGAGTTGCATGATCCCGCATCACTCTGATTGTTTGCCTCGCTCTCAACAATTACCAACGCATCATGGCAGGTGGAGAGAAATCGAAATCTACCTGCGCTGGTAGTGTTTACGGACAATGCTGCTCGGTGAGTCTATTGCCCATTTGGTAAGAGAATACTGCTAACCTGGACCCAAGCAATATGACAATTGTGGCAGCAGTGAGGAGTATTGCGGTGCCGGGTGCAAAAAGGCCTTTGGGACATGCTGGGGGTGACCAAGGCGTGCTCCTATCACGCCTCTGAGAGTGAAGAAGTCACGCCAGGGTGGGATTCTGAATGGTTGACGAGACTTCCGTTGCCCAATGGCCTCCTCGCAAGTTTCCAGGCCTATGAGCACTTCAGCCAGACGCCTGATTGCATGATCCGAGCCTCTCTTTCACAGGTCTCTGTTTCTTCTTCAACGCAACCCCAGCTGGGCTCCGTCAATATGCCTCCCATACCAAGTATCGGTACTCCTGCTACATACTATACTGTACCTTCAGTTCCCAGCAACACAAGGGATTCAAAACATGCGGTCTGCCGAGTCGAAGCATAATGGCACCCCAACAACCAACGAGACACCCTGTTCCAGCCCTGCTATGCTATGCTGTTCGAGTTTCGACGCCAAAGACGCGAAACGGAATCTCTCGCACCTTGGATGGGGTGGTGTGGGAGGTTGGAGTTTGCGCATTATGCTGGATGCTGGGTGCGAGATGTGGGATGTGGGGACATGCACGGAGATACGTGAGGTTATTTCCTTGCTCAGATTGTAGATTACAAATCGCCATTGTGGTAGGTGGTGGGGGAGGGGGAGGTATTCAATAATGTGGCAAAATGTAGGACAGGAAGCAAGATTCACACCAGACAGGACTGAATTCAATTACCCTACCATGACATGCACCAAAAGCAAAAAAAAACATGTAAACTCTAAACTCTGAACTTCATTTCAAAAACTCAAGCACCACATCGTCACGCCTAATCTCTCACAATAGTGTTGGGATACTTCTCTGTCCTGTCCAGTCATGTTGAAAATTCATTCATCATCTTCATCTTCATCTTCATCTTCATCTTCATCTTCATCTTCATCTTCATCTTCATCTCTATCTATCCCTCCCCTCGCCCAGCCAGCCCTCCAGACCCGTAATCCCATCCCAAATGCAAGCTCCCTTTAGCATTTCATAACCCGCCCTTCGCCCCCTTTTCCACCAAAACAATCGTTGAAGATCGTTCCCATGTTGAATAAAAACCCCTTTATATAACCAAAACGACCATGACTAAAAAATATCCTAAGAAATGAAAGAAGAAGAAAACGCCTAAAACACCATCGCTTCAAGGGTGGTAGGGGGAGGGGGCGCCAAGGGTAAAGGGGGTCAAGGATGTCGTAATCGTATTGTTGAAAGTGTCGTCGAAAAAAAGAAAAACTCTTGAATAAACGCAGCCACATGATCTGCCCATTTCAAGTATACAGGAACTTGTTGGGTGTGACGACTGTGTGTCATGTCATTGGGGATTTTCAGGTAGGTGTAGGTGCGGCGGCACCCGTGATGTCGCCTGCGTCTCCGTCGACGGGGGCACAGGTGCAGAAGAGGTTTGTGTCGCCGTATGCTAGAGTGGGGAGTTAGCACATGTACTGATTCAGAGGAAACAAGGGGTCAAGAGAAACAAGAAAGCAAAGTGAAAAAACATACCATCGTCCAAGCGTGCGACACTGGGCCAAAACTTCTTACTCTTCAACCAGGGCAACGGATAGGCCGCCTTCTCCCTCGAATAACTCCTCTGCCACTCACCCAGAATGAGATCCTGCTGTGTATGCGGACTCATCTTGAGCACATTACCCTCGCGCGGCTGCTTGCCCTCCTCGACCTCGCGAATCTCCTGTCGAATCGCAATCAGGGCGTCGCAGAAACGATCCAACTCGGCCTTTGACTCGGACTCGGTCGGCTCAATCATCAGTGTGTTGGCGACAGGCCAGGACATGGTGGGCGAGTGGAAGCCGTAGTCTTGCAGACGCTTAGCCACGTCGATGACTTCGATGCCGCAGGATTCCTTGAAGGGGCGGATGTCTAGAATGAATTCGTGGGCGCAGCGACCTTCAGCATTGGTGTAGAGGATGGGGTAGTGCGGTTTCAAGCGGCTGAGGATGTAGTTTGCGTTGAGGAGGGTGATTTTAGTGGCTTGGGTGAGGCCGACGCTTCCCATCATTTTGATATAGGCCCATGAGATGGGGAGAATGGAGGCGGAGCCCCATGCGGCGCCAGAGACGGGGTGAATGGCTTGCGCTCCGCCTGTTTCACCCCGCAAGTGTCCTGGCAGGAAGGGAGATAGGTGTTCCTTGACGCCGATGGGACCGACGCCTGGCCCGCCTCCTCCGTGGGGGATGCAGAATGTCTTGTGGAGGTTGAGATGGCATACATCGGCACCAATCTCGCCGGGGGAGCAGAGCCCAATCTGCGCATTCATGTTTGCGCCGTCCATGTACACTTGTCCGCCGTGTTTGTGGATCAAGTCACAGGCAGCTTTTACGTTTGGCTCAAAGACGCCAAATGTAGAGGGGTATGTGACCATGAAGGCTCCCAGTTCCTCACTGTGCTTCTCACATTTTGCTTGCAAGTCGGCCATGTCGAGGTTACCGGTCGCAGTGTCGCATTTGATGGGCACAACGCGCATGCCGCACATGGCAGCACTAGCAGGGTTGGTGCCGTGTGCAGATACAGGAATAAGGCAGATGTCGCGCTTCTTGCCCGGCTGCTGTTCGAGGTACTTCCGGATTACACGAAGACCCGTGAACTCGCCTTGAGCGCCCGAGTTGGGCTGGAGGGAGATAGAGTGGAAGCCAGTGATGTCGGCCAGATCGTCTTCGAGCTGCTTGATCATCTCGGTGTAGCCCTTGGCACGATCGAGAGGCAGGAAGGGGTGAAGATTGGATACTGTCTCAAAGGAGACGGGGGCCATTTCTGAAGTGGCGTTCAGCTTCATGGTGCAGGACCCAAGAGGAATCATAGAGTGAACAAGAGACAGGTCTTTGGATGCGAGATGGTTGATATAACGAAGGAGTTCGGTTTCAGAGTGGTGCGAGTTGAAGACGGGATGTGTGAGGAATTCACTCGTGCGCTTAAAAGGCTCTGGGAGCTCAATGTTGACGTCTTCGGTGAAGGACGTGTTGTCTCCGTTGCCAATCTCCCTGAATGGCTGAAGCAGATTGGTGATGGTCGCAGAAGTGGTGGTCTCGTCGACGGAGATGCCAATGTGCTTGTCATCGATTCGCCTGACGAGAATCTGTCGACGTTCGAGATCAGCCATGATGGAGTCTGTCTTGTCCCCTGTCTCAACCACAAAGGTGTCAAACAGAACTGGTGCATTGTCCAACTTCCCGCGCTGTCCAGTCCTGAACCCATTGGCAACAAGCGCCTGTTGTACAAGTCTCGCCTTCGCAAGAACCTGCTTCGCGATCTGCTGAAGTCCATTCGGTCCGTGATAGACGGCATACATGGCACTCATATTTGCCAGCAGCGCCTGTGCCGTACAGATGTTGCTCGTCGCCTTTTCACGACGAATGTGCTGCTCCCTGGTTTGTAGCGCCAGCCTCGCCGCCGGGTTGCCCAACCTATCCTTCGACAGGCCGATCAAGCGTCCGGGAATCTTGCGCTTGTACTTGTCGTCACACGCGAAAAAGGCAGCATGCGGTCCACCAAACCCAAACGGCACACCAAAGCGCTGCGCGTTTCCGAACGCGATATCCGCGCCAAACTCGCCAGGGGGTGTGAGCAGCGTAAGCGCCAGAAGATCTGTCGCCACGCTGAACAACGCACCCGTCTTGTGAACCTTGTCTGCCAAACCGCGGAAGTCGTTGACCCCGCCTTCTGTGTCAGGGTACTGTGCCAGTACACCCACGAGGTCCTGTCCCAGCTCCTCGACCCTCTTACTGTTGTCCTTCAACACATCCGCCACCTCAATCTTGATACCGAAGCCCTCGGCGCGCGAGTACAGCACAGCCAGCGTCTGGGGGTGACAGCGCTCACTGACCAGGAAGGTCTTGTTCTTGCTCTTCTGCTTGCTCAATGGCATCATTCCCATGCTCATTGTCATGGCTTCTGCCGCCGCAGTCGATTCATCCAGCACTGACGCATTCGCAATGCTGAGGCCCGTCAAGTCCGACACCATGGTCTGGAAGTTGAGCAGACTCTCCAGTCTTCCCTGACTGATCTCAGGCTGGTAGGGTGTGTAGCTGGTGTACCACTGAGGGTTCTCGAACACATTTCTCTTGATGACCTCTGGCACTTTGGTGCCATAGTATCCCTGGCCGATTAGACTCTTGCCTGGCTTGTTCTGGTCCATGATCCTCTTCGCATTCTTGAGAAAGACAGATTCAGGCACGCCGTCGCTCTGCCACTTGCCCTTGTGGTGTTGGCTCAGTTTGCCAATCTTGATCTCGCGCGAGGAGAGGATATCGGCGGGAATGACCTGCTTGACAAACTCATCCAGACTGGCGGCGGGTGGGTCCAGTGCCCTCAGCATGGCCGCTGTCGACTCTGCAGAGGGTCCAATGTGTCGTCGGGGAAATGTATCGAGCGCTTCGATCGGTTTCGCAGACGAGAGTTGCTGGGGCGGCGTATCGAAGACATCGTCTGCTGCCTCCACAGCCGCTGCTGCAGCCTGGCTGGCCGGAGTAGCATTCTGCTGGAATGCGCGTTTCTGCAGATGCTGCGCTGATTTGGAGGCAATTGCGCGCGGAGAGCTTCCTGCCAGTTGGGGACGTGAGAGCTGGGCGACGCAGGTGGAGCGGGCGAGTCTGCTGGCCGAACTGGCAGCCCTGAGGCATGCTGTGCGCATTTTGGCTGTGTGAATGAGGGGAAGGAATGTCAAGGGGAGGAGCCCCAGAAAAAGTCTGAAATTCTCTCCCGCAGATGTTCGATTATTCTCTTTGTGGAACAATGGTTTGGGTGGCAATGCAGTGCAGGTCTGTTGCTGCGAGGGAAAGAGCTCGCCACCACCAAGGGAAAGCAGTGGTCGTCTCTGCGGTCTGAGCTAGGTAAACAAGCTTAGAGTGGAGAAAGAAAGGTTGATGAGAAAGAGATGGATGATTGCAAAAAGAAAAGGGAAGAGAAAGTCAAAATCATGCCATGCCGCTAGAAAGTATTGGAGGCAGCGGTGACCGTGCCGACTATGGGAAGATGCAAACGCGTGCTTTCTCTAATGTCATCATGCTCGGTCTCTTTCTCTCTCTCTCTCTCTCTCTCTCTCTCTCTCTCTCTCTCTCTGTGTGTGTGTGTGTGTCCATGAGCTCTCTCCAACACCAAACAAGGGCCGTTGTTATCCGTCGCGTAAACGGCGGGCAGGCAAGACATCGATAAGGCAATCCCTGTCAGCCCACCGCCCTCGCACCCCACCAAGGCGATAGTTGGTTAGCCCACCAATCCAGCAGTCCAACCAACCACCCAACCTTTTTCCTTGCCTAGGTAGGCGTACGCTATACTCACCTACCCCCTACTCCTACCTACCCGCTACCTACTCCACACCACCCGCCTGCATACAAAGGTCACATTGGGTAAAACTAAGCATCCAATCCTGCTATTCCATTACCTGATATCCACTGCAGCCCACTTGCATCACACCCCAAACTCTACCACTACTCCGCACACGGCGCACACGCCAACCCGGCCTTTCTTGGGCAAAAAAAAAAAAGAACACTAAATGCTCGCCCGTCGCGGAGCCATTGTCCGTCGGAGATTCCTTTCCTTCTCCGTCTCCTCGGGCACTGGCAACACGCCTTGCTCACGCAACTGTGCTAGATATTCTTTGCCTGTAGGATACCATCATCAGCCATGCATATTATACACGCTTGTGTAATAGGTCGACATACCGTATTTGTACCCAACATCGTGAATCTCCTCAAACTTGGCAAAGTCCAGCGTGCCGTATGCATCAATCGGAGGCCGCATATACCGACAGCCCGGTGTATTCTTTGCCCGCTCCAGCGCATCGATACTGCTCACATACGCAAGACGAGACTGGATCTCAGACAGCGTGGGAGGATTGGGGTGGCTTGAAAACGGATTCCAGCGGTTCAGTGTGGCCCAGAAGCCGGAGAGGGAATCGCCAAACGCCTGTGGTGTGTCTTCGTCCAGGCTTCCCACATCGACGGCAAATATCACGTCCGCCCCAAGGCTCTTCATGTGAGCGACGGTGAGGTTGTCAATATACCCGCCGTCTAACAGCATGCTGCCATTGTCGCAGAGCGGGGGCAAGAGACCGGCAAGGGACATCGAGGCCCGGACGTACCGCCAGACATAGCCTGAAGTGTGAATCTCTGATCGTGACTTGCTAATATTCGTCGTGTTGCAATAAAATTCCAGCCAAAAGTCTTCCATCTGGGAATTGCCAAATGTCTTGAAGATACCGCGGTTGAACTCGTGACCCGTCGTATACGAGACACTGGTCCAGTTAGCCATATCGAGCTACAGTAGCAATCGAGTATACGTACGAAGGATAAGTAAGGTCGAAAGCAAATCTCCACATGCTGCCCATACGTCCTGCAAACTTCTTCGCTCTGCCATACATGGGAACAACATCAGCGTCCCAGGCATACAGCGCACCTACGAAGCTGCCAATCGATGTACCGCCGACAATGTCGATGGGTATGCCAGCTTCTTCAAGTGCGCGAATGATACCGACTTGTGAAATGCCTCGTGCACCTCCGCCTCCCAACACCAGCCCTACTGATTTGCCACAGATGCGCCTGCCAAGTCGATGAAAGTCGCCCTTGAAGGGTGTATCCGCCGAGTACAACGGAGTTTGGCGAACTTTTCTAGACGTGTACTTTTGTATCTCCGCCTGGATTACCTGAACTCTCTGCTTGAGTGTCTTTCCGAAGCGCCTTCCGACATGGTGTACTGGCTCGGCAGTGGCACGGAACGACATCTGGATATGATGGTGACTTCCATTGATCCAAGGTCGATTGCGCAGCCACTTCCTTGTCAGACCAGAGGGACAGTACCTTTCCGTGTGTAGCAGCACCAACTCCTTGCGTGCAGTCGTCTTTGTCGTCAACAGGAACCGTTCGTACTCTCCAATATTGGGAGAGGACTCGGCCAGACCGACGAGCAGAATACAATCGGCCTGGTTGATACACGTCTGAGTCCAAGGCGATTTGACGGGCGTGTCTGCTACATATATGACCATTCCATATCTCTCCTCCAGGTCAGCAAGGTACTGTGAAAGCTTGAGCTTGCCCATCCGATTGAAAGCGTGGCGTCCCAGATGATTCAAAATGGCAGCTTGATTGAGCGAAACGACGCCTCGAGGCATGCCGATCTGAGTAAGCGCGTTCACAAGCCGGCTGGCAAAGTCTACAACGGGAATACCCGCAGTGACTGGCAGCACTGTCACTGTGCGCAGATTCACCGTGGAAGATACATTCGTTCGTGTGGCTTTCGCACTTCGTTCTTTACTTTGCTCGTGAAGCGGATCGTCTACCAAAGCTCGCATGCGGGAGGCAATCATTTTTGAGATTTTAATCGTAATGCCAGGATGTTCAAGAGCGAGGCTGTTGAACAATGTCTTGGGGAGTTTGGCGAGCTCAGTATCGCGAATGGCATGCAAGGATCCTGGACGCGCAGACTCTGTGAGGACCTCTAGCTCACCAACACTGTCTCCTTGGCCGTATTCGCCAATGACTTTCATTGAACTATTTTCAGCATCGCGAATAACACGTAGACGTCCGTTGAGTACGATGTAGATGGCGTCACTCTCATCACCCTGGTTGTAGATTACCTGTCCTGCATTGACTTGAACCCATTCGAGAGCAAAGTCGATGTGCTGGATCAAGCGCGGTAGAAGACTGGTAAGACGCTTAGCCATTGTTAAGAGAACAACGGGATAGCGTTCGACGATCCTCTCAATGGAAGCGCGTGGAAGAAAGCCGACGTAAACATCAGTCTTAGCCGTGACATCGACAAATGATCGGTTTGAGGAGATGGTGCCGAGATAGCCAGCCAGACCACCTGGTTTTGTCATAAAGAGACTCGTCCGCGAGCGCTTCTTCTTTCCACTGTCTGCCGAGTTGCGCAGAGATGTGCCCTTATTTTTTTGCCTCATTTCAGGTCCAAAGAGATCTTCCTCAGTATATCCAGATCCGTTAGGATGAGTTCCAAACACATCGGTCTCTGAGCTCTCATCCTCGACAGCCACACTAACATCTAGAAACCCGTCTATGACATAGTACAAACCAGGATTCCGTTCACCTTGCTCAACAAGCACAGCATCTTTTGGGAAGAAGACGATTTCAACATCGTTTACAATCTCTTCTGTGATATTGTAGGGGCTGGATACGCTTGCTGCAGACATGCCTGAAACCGAGGCTACAGACTCCGTATCGCCATCTCGCGAAGCTTCGTAGGGATCGATAAAGCTAAATGCATTTGTAAAGAACGCTTTTTGTCTCTTGGCATCGAATGAGACTAGTCGTGGTGACTGCTCAACGGATCCCGTGGGCCGGGGCATAGAATTCTCAAAGTTAGTCAGGCCAATAGCTTTGAACATGCAGTGCAATATGGATTCTCTGAACACGGTAGCTTCATCAATAGATTCTTGTCGATGTACCGATGGCCGTAACGATGGTGAGGCGAAGGGATTGAAAGTACTTGCGTCTAACGGTGTGCGAGCATCTCGGCGGTCATGCTGGTATGGCTGTGAAAAGCTGCTTCTGCCAGAGCGACCGGTGCCACGAGCCATTTGAGAGTTGGTCAGGAGGTCACCAGCACTGATGCGATCGTTGCGAGGTCCCGAGTCCATCGTCTGCTGTGGTGGAGATGCCATGTTGACCAGCTTTTCACCAGTGATATCAATAGAAGCGCCACGCGCAGCAGCAAGCCGAGCCTTTGCAGCTGTTCCCCTCCTTAATGAAACGCTAGACCGGCGTCGACGACCAGCTCCAGAGTTGTGCAATGCGATGCCCTTCATGCCCTCATCTAGACCAATGCGTTCCGTCTCCTGGTTGAACTTCTCCTTGAGTCGCTCAAGTGGAGCATCCCGGAGAAAACCTGGAAGATCATATGTGGTGTACTTGTTCATCAGCTTCTCAGTTCGGAGGACTTCGTTAGTCAGACTGAGGTAGGAATGGCTGGTAGCAAGAGTGACCCTCTGCAACCGGGTAATAATCACTTGAACAATGTGCGCTGTCGCTTTGGGATATATCCGTGTCAAACGGCGGAATGCAGTAGCGGGAATAACAGCGATAGTGGTATCTACAGTTGCACGCGCAACGATGTCAGGATGAGCAGCGGACTTTGGTTTTACCGTTCGAGGTGGCGATGCTCGTGTCTTGGTGTGCTTCAGACGATCGCTGTACCCATCTGTATCTAGGGAAAGGGGTGGTACACTTGAGAGGCGACCTCCGGCTGTTGGACTGTTGAGGGTTGATGTTCTTCGATGCTGCAAATTGCCTGCCGAGATGCCATTAGGACTATGCGGCCTCGAATCGTCTGGCCCGTAACTGCTCGTCCTGGTCACTGAGGGTCTGATATGGCCAGGTGGGGTTTCTGGTATGCTTGAACCGGGGTCCTCGTCTTCATCGTGGCGAAGTTTGACATCTTCAGTAAACAGCGACAGAATCGAGAATAGCGAAGTCATGGGTGCACCGTTCTTGACTTCAGTCAAGAGCTGGTATCCTTGACGATGGCCCTGGTGCGAAGAACCCTCTGGGGATTCTCCACCTCCGCTATCATCCTCATCAGAATCTGAGCTATCTCGATTCGACTTGACAAAAATCTGCACAAGACCATCTACCACGAGACAGAACCCCTTCTCTTCCTCGAGGAGAATAGTCTCACCAGCCACAAGACGACGAGTCTGCATGGTGCGTGTAAGTTCATGGAAGACGGGACGTTCGAGATATCCGAAAACTTTGATAGCACTCAAGAACTCGTCGAGATAATTCGAGAGACCCCTTTTCGAATCTGTCTCGGCGCTATCAGGAAAGACTTCTACCTGGGGCTCCTCACGCTGCGGCTCCTGTGGTAGACGTGTGTACATGGTCATGTATCGATATCTCACGAAGTAACTAACTGTCGACACGACAAACACCACTAGCAGCATCCTGTACAGGCTTGATTAGCATTGGTAGAGTATCCTTGTGCAAACCATCATGGAATGGGGGTTGGAACTTACAGTGTGGTAAAGTTCATTGTGAAGGTCAAGCTCATGGAGAACAGAGTGAACAGCCATGCTGGGATAGTATAGCTGACCCAGTACAAGATTGTCGGCAGCACACCGAGAATAGACAGTATAACGCGTCCCAACAAGCCAAACGTAGTCGAGGACGCAGCCTCGGTACCTTTTGCAGAAGCCATGGAGGTCACAGCAGCTTCTGCCACACTGGAGACGGCGGCAGCTGATTTATCTGCCAGAGAATGGATGGCCTCTGGGGCCGGCATATTGGCCATGATGGAGAGTTCAGTTACCGGTCCTGGTCTCCGAAAACAGAGTGCCGACTATTACGAGTGTTTCCTGCTCACCAATGCCGTGATATGTATGCAAAGACGAGACTCCCATGATATTGCGTTCTGCATGCACGTTGCGGGATCTGCGAACATGGCTGACATGACCCAGACTAACTAAGGTATGTGGGAACAAACATGTGACAGGTGGGCTGAACTAGCTGAATCTGGTGACTAAGCAGTTGGCTCTAGCGACGCGAACATTCGCGGCTAACAGCTCCAGCCCTGGCACCACATGTCCCAACGCGGCGCGACAAGCTTCCACTCCGCCTGGGCAATTGAAGGTCGCCATACATCGAATTCGCAAGTCGCTTCTGATCTAACAGAAGGTACCATCGCTTCAATCTCGCGAGCTATCTTTATCCGCATCACGTAGCCTTTCTCCCTCCCTCGCGACATATCGGTACTTTACTCATTGCGCCGCGCCCCATAGTCTCCCCCAATTGGCCCAGCATGCCACCGTTCAAAGATGACCAGATCATTGTAAGCATATTTTGTTCCCTGAGACAGTTTAGTCGCACAAATGCTGACAGTGATAGATCATTGCGCCCGGCTCAGAAACCACGGTAGCCCAGCTTGGCCTACCGGAGTCCTTCGCCCCGCCCCGGTTACGCGTGCGGTCGCGTATGTTTCCTGCGGAGAAAGAGGGTGAATTCGAACCCTATAAGATCCGGCGGAAACAAGACCAGCCGGCGGTCGCGGTAGGCGCACAGAACGACGAGGCCGACGCAGAGAGGAAATCAGGCGAAGACGAGGAGATAATATGGGAGGAGGACCGCGTGTCAGAGGAGGGTGCGATATGGCCCATTCAAGAAGGCAGGATCGTGGACTGGCCCTGTTTCTTTGCGCTCATGTCGCACGTCTACAACACCCTGAACCCGCCCTTCCACACAGCCATACTGTTGGTTGCGCAACCAGCATGGACTCCACGAGAGCACGAAAAGCTTACTCAGTTCTTTTTCGAGAAATTCAAAACGCCTGCCTTCGGTCTATTAGATGCAGCATTGGCGACGACGTGGGCATATGGTGTACATTCAGCGACCGTTATCGATGTAGGAAAGGCGAAGACGGATGTTACTGCAGTCAGCGAGTTCATCCCACACATTCAGGGCAGGGTTGTTTCATTGAGCGGATGTGGTGGCGAGGCTTTTACGGAAACCTTGCTTGCCAAACTCAAGTCCAAGGGTCTCAATCGCGACATGTGCGAACAACTCAAGCGGTCTCCCATTTGTGAAATCCTACCTACTGGAACGCCGCTGCCAGGCTCAGGGGATATCCCAGAAAAGGACATCATCACAAATCCTGCTGCTGCTGCTTCGACGGGCGCTACCGATTCGGGACCTGTAGCAGCAGCCGCTATTGGTAACGTCCCACGAGGCCCGGGTGCAGACACCGAGGTGGGTGAAGATCTTGGAATTGAAGAAAATGAGGGCGTGCTCGACGTCGCAAGCATTGTGGCGGGTGGTAAGATGAATGAGTATTTGGCAAAGAAAGAGAAAGAGAAGCAGGAAAAGGCCAACGCGAAGAAGAAGGGTGTTCCGGTTCCGGAAGTTAACAAGCCTGTTCGACTACCAAACTCAAGACGTGAAAAGGCCACCTTTTTATATGAGGATCATGCGCTGCTGGATACCCTCAAGAACATGAACCTTAATACCCAAGATATGGCAGATGCGAAGAACGCGCTGGATGAAGGCCCAAACCGGAAAGGGCAGGAAAACGGAGAGACTGGAGAGCCCACTTCGGCCGTTGAGGCCAACGGAAATGGCGACCCCAGCTCTGCAACCAAACGTACAGGTGCCATCAGGCGTGAGATTGAAGTGGGAACCGAACGATTTTTGACAGCAAGTGACGGGACACTGGAAAAGATTGCTGATGCGGTGCATCGAGTGATTTCGTCAGTGGACGATGTCAGTAAGCGAAGTGATTTGTGGGATCAGTTGATCGTCTGTGGCAACGGCTCAAAGCTACGGGGTAAGTCTCAATCAAGCAAATCACAAAGAACACATTGATTAACTAGTGTATAGGCTTCAAGGAAGCACTGCTACAGGCACTACAGACCAAGTACCTCATTTCGCCATCTTCAGCGACCATTTTTACATCAGAGATCCCATCAAACATTTCAACGCCTGCAGGGACTGGCGCAAACACGCCACAACCCCAGCTTGGCCCTCATGGAGGATCGCAAGTCAATCCACTTCTATTTGCAGCCACGACCGCCCAGACTCAGCACATGACTCCACATGGCGGCAATTCAATGATGGCTGGTATGTCACACAATGCACACTCATCACATGGCCAGACACCTACTTCCATCAAATTTGTCAAGCCACCAGAGTATTTCCCAGAATTTAAGGAAGTGGGATACGACGAGTCTGCATTCCTGGGCGCTCAGGTAGCTGCAAAGGTCATTTTCGTGGTAGATCAGGGACAGAGCAAAGGCTACATGACCAGACCAGACTACAACGAACAAGGACCACAGGCTATTCATGACTACAGCCTGTGATGCAATAGCATCCGCCCGCATTACTTATTGTGCTATGCCTTGGCATCTGTGGCGTCGTCATACTGATACTGCGGCATGCCAAAGCAAACAATCAATCAAAAAGTTTTGGTCAGAATCTGGATGTCACGGCGGCGTTATGGACAGAAGCAAAAGATGCCCAAACGTGAGCGATGTTCACCAGGATTTAGGCTGGCGACGAAATGTGCGCCAGATTTGGCAGTGCAAGAGATTTTATGTATGATCAAACGGTCTGACGCCCACTTGTATAACATTCTTGCCGATTGCCCGTATTTGGTATCGCTTTTGGTGCTGCTGATATCCGTCGGCGTTCTCCGATAGAGACGGTCCGCTCCACGTGCTAGAAATTTAGCGAGAGACTAGCCTGAATGGTCAACCTTTCTTCCGGCATTGATAAAGATCCTATACCCGCTCTCAATGTCATCTCACTTGATTGAATTTTCTACTATCTTTAACTCCCTGCTCATCTTACTTGTGGTGCCTTGTTGGAAGTTGTTGGTCGCAGATAGGATTTGCGGCAACACACAATTGACGTTATAAGTGGAGACTTACTACTTGGACCCCCGCCCCTGATCTGGAGTGACTAATTTTATCGTCTGCGCGCTGTCGGGATTCTGAGGTCAGTAGTCTTCTGATATTGGGGTATCGGATCAATCAATATGGCTGCATCGGCACCCATATCCAGGACGATCTACACAGGTCCCTTTGTTCATAGCGTGTCGCTTGGCAAGCTCGAGATATGCGAAAGGGCGGCCATTGGAGTCGACGAGAATGGAATTATCGCTTTCGTTGAGAAGAACACTGAAGAAGATAGTATTGGAAAGATCAAAGGCCGGCGAGAAGGATGGTCAGATGCACATGTGGTTAGCATTGAGGGAGATGGCTTCTACTTTCCAGGCTTCATCGACACACACACTCACGCGCCACAACATCCCAATACAGGTCTTTTTGGCAAGACCACTCTCCTTGACTGGTTACAAACTTACACATTTCCAATGGAATCCTCATTATCTTCCCTACCAACGGCCAAACGGAGCTACCAGAACTTCGTATCACGGACGTTGTCACATGGTACTACCACATGTGCCTACTACGCTACCATTCATGTTCCAGCCACCAATCTTCTCGCTGATATCTGCCTGGAACGAGGTCAAAGAGCCCTCGTTGGAAGAGTGTGCATGAACAGCGACCTGAGCCCTGAATACTATAGAGATCAGAGCACGGAGAGTAGTCTCAATGACTCAAAAGCGAGCATCGACTACATTCGCTCCATTGATCCAAACGGCCATATCGTAAAGCCAATCATAACCCCGCGATTCGCCCCGTCTTGCACATCAGATTGCCTTGCCGCCATAGGCAAGTTGGCAAATGATGCAGACTCCCACATCCAAACACATCTCTCCGAGAACAAAGGCGAGATCGAGCTGGTAAAACAACTTTTCCCAGACTCAAAAAACTACACAGACGTATATGATACACATGGTCTCCTTACACCCAAGACTATTCTGGCGCATTGTGTACATCTCACGCCGGAGGAGCGCAAGACCATTCTCGACCGCAAGAGCAATAAGCGCGAAATACGAAAAGGGAAT